TTTAATGTCCTCAATCACCTGTTTAAAAGAAGACAGTGTATAACATCTTAGAGTAGGAGAAGTTACTTTAAAAGAAAGATAATTTTCCTCTGTATTTTGACAATATTAATCTCATTTATTTTAGAAGACTTGACTGTTAACTCCAGTATTTGAGTTGTTTATGAGTCTGCTTTTATTACCTACTTTTCCTCTTGATTAGCATTGTTTTGACTCTTTACATGTTCAAAACATTATTATATACAAAGTATTATATGAAGGTATATTAGTGGTCCCATGTAGTTTATCATGCTCCCGAGAGATTTGTCTTTCTTCTGCTAGGTTAACAGACTAGGAAGTTGAGTGCTTCATTTTCATCAGGGATCACCCTGGATTATTGCTATCAGTATGAGGAAGGTTCACACTTAAACTGGTTCATCCTTGTTAGACAGTGATCCTCCAGTGCTTTGATGAGTTTTGTGTTTACCCGGAATTGAAAGAGTACAGAGTCAGTTCTGCTCTTCCAAGGCATTCAGCTTACTTAGTTCTTAAGCCTAACCTCACAAGCAATTTCAAAATTTACTAAGTCTTGAGAAAACACCAACCATGTTTTAGGTCTCTCAGATCTTCAGTTTTATCACTTTAGCTTTGCAAAACACCAAATGTTATGGTTGATACATTGTGTCAAATTGCATTCTAAAAGCTTAACAAAAGTAATTCAGCATGGTAAGGACATGCCCTTACCACTGCAGGATGTTGGATGTTGTACGTTGTGTCAGCTTGAGAAGTTTAAAAGTTTAAGTGATTCAGCAGGGAGCCAGGGTCCTTACTTTGTAAAAATCCTCAGTGTGTGGAAGAGGTGGGCATGGAGATGGTATGGGTGTGGGCAGATACCGGGCATATAAATAAGGGAGGAAAGAGGTTTGTTTTCCCCCTTTGTGCTCTTGCTGCTTTTGCTATGTTCTGCTGCCTTGGACTGTTGCCCCCGTGCCATGCCACCCTGCCTTGGAGCCAGCTGATTACACACTGAAATCTCCACAAACTATGAGCTAAATAAACTTTTCCTTCCTTAATTTTGGGCATCAGGTACTTTGTCCCAGCAACAAAAAAAAAGTAACCAAGACACCAAATATATACTGATTCCTCTGTTCTCAACAACAGCCTTCTTCTAGAAGTTTTGTATTTGGAGATCCATCAACTACATTTTTATCTCTCCAGTCCCTTGTGACCATTATGTTTCTCTTTCCCATGACAGCCATGTCCTGATCCTGAGCCCATGTACAGAATCAACAAATAAACTGAGGGGACGGAGGAGGCACAGCTATTGATTGTTGACTCTGAATATTCTTCCCTTCCCAGACTATTGGTTCATCTAGCCCATGTTGCTTCCATAAGTATTAAATGCTTTAAGAAATGTTTTGTGTAAGTTATTTGGATTTTTCTAGTCATCATCAGTAGTATTGACCTGCTATACTCTTACTGTATCCTCCTTGAAAGCAGAATCTATACAGACGTTCTTGAGTGCTTGTCAGGTGCCAAGTGTTCTTCATGCTTCCGGGTGTAGGATTACCTCTGCCCTCAAAGAGTTCCAGTCTAAGGTAGGTAAGACACATGATACGTAATAATAATATCTGTCCAGTGTTGTAAGAGAGGTGTGAACCATAGTAAGAGAAAGGAAACAGATATGAACTAGCACCACTTGTTTAGAAAGTTTCGAGTTTTATAATTTTTGTATGGTTACAGTTTAGAGTTCAGCAGTAAAACTAGAATAGTAAGATTGGCAAGAGATGGGCATAGGCCTAAAGGTAAAGAGCCCTGTCAGCCATGGTAAAAAGGTGTTTGTGCTTTACATAGGGTGTGGAGAGCAGTTGAATTTTAAATGTGGAGGAAAAGGACCAGACTTTGTTGTAGAAAGATTACTTATCAGTGTGAAATTTGGAGTCCAGAAGGGCATGCATACAAAACAAGATGCCAGAGAGGAAACTGTTGCAATTGACCCAACATGGAATACATGATCATCATTATTAGTGGATTTAAAAGATGTTGAAGGAGTAGAATTGATGTAATACAGGGAATGATGGGATTAAAATGGAAGTGAAAGAAGACAGAAATTCAAAGGTTTTTAGCTTAATTAAGGAATGAATCACAAAGGAAATACAGTAGAAAAAGCAGTCGAGTTCAGTTTTGGAATGCTATGTGTTCCCGTTCACTAACTTTTAACAGTTTTTGTTGTATAGCCTAAGGGCTTAGTTTGTGATCTACCCCTTGGGGGATCCCAAGTTACCATTATGAAATTTCCAAGGTGAATAAGACATAGACCACTACCCTCACCCCAGCTTTAGCAAGAGACCCTCTGATTTTGTCTTAAACATTTTATGTAAAGAAAGTTTTCAATGCTAAAAGAAAAAAAATTATCAGTTTTTCATTCATCTTCCCATCTTAGATCTCTGTTTGAACAGGTTCCTTTCTCAAGTAGCTTCCCCTGGTAAGTTGTATAGGTGATACTTCCTCTAAATCTTTGCATGTTGCTCTCCCACCTTGAAGGAGGAGGAGAACATCTTAGCTGGATATAAGGTTTGGGGACCATAATCCTTTATTCATAGTCAGTAGATGCTGTTCCACTGTGTTTTAGCCTACATTGTTGCAAATGAGCTCAAAGCTGATCCATTTTTCTTTTGTAAGTTGTTTCTTCCTAAAAGTATGTATGATTTTTCTTTTCATCTTAGAGTTCAGGAATTTTACCAGAATGTGACTAGATAGGTACCTTTTGACTCTGAATATTCAGATAACTCTTTTGGCAGCTAAGGGAAATGTTTCAGATACTTGTTTACTCTAGCCCTCTGTGTGTTCCTTTTTCTCCTTCCAAATTCCCAATTACTCACATGTTGTTTTCCTGCCTCTATCCTCCAAGTCTCCTAGTTTCCGTCCCTGTATTCCTGTTCAGAGGTTTAGAATGGCTCTGCTCGATCTTCTGCTTACTGGGTCTCAGCAATTAGCCATCTTCTTTTTGTTAAACTTTTTTTGGTGTGGAAAATTGTTGGGGGGTTTTGTTTTGGTTTTTTGGTTTTTTGGTTTTGGTTTTTTGAGACAGGGTCTCGCTATGTAGTTCAGGGTCTGGCTTTAAACTCACTGGTTAGCCCAGGCTGGCTTCAAACTCACAGCAACCCTCCTGTCTCAGCCTCCTAAGTGCTGGCATTACAGGCATGTGGCACCGCACATGGCTCAAAAATCGTATTTTCACCTCTAAGAAATACCTTTGTCCTATAATTGAACTTAATTGCTTTTATTTTTAGTGCTTTTGTTAATCTAAGGTTCACCACCTCAAGGAGTTCTGAAATGTTTTTCTTCCCTTTTACTGCAAGGTCCCATTAAGCAGTTGCCTTCCCTTCCTACTTATTAATCCAACCACCAGTCCCTCAGGCAGGGGACAGCACAGCAGCCTCTGGACCATCACTGTGTGAGCTGATGCCCATGGGGTGTCATTAGTCCTCAGCCAGGCTTCATGGGTTCCATGCCAGGCATTTTCCTAACCTACAATGATGACTTGAGCATCTTCCCTTCCATGGCTTCTTGGAACCACAGAGACCAGGAGATTCCCTCCACCCAAGAAACCTCACGGAGACCAGCAGTGCCCTTCCTGACTGGGTCCTTGGAGCTCAGTAGGCTGGCTTCTCTCTAGGATGTCAGAGTCCTGAATGTGCCTAGACCCCTTCCTTGACCAGAGGGGAAAAGCCTCACCAACAGTCTCTGGATGGACCAGGTCTCAGCCCATACCTCTAGATACCACTGACCTACTAGTCATAGCCACTGGTATCAGGAGTCCTCATTGAATTGTAAGTAGAGACAGTCAGTTCGCTTTGTGGTCATCATCTTTTCAGAAACCACCAGCAAGGTGAATTTAAAAAAAAGAGAGCATGACTACCACACTACTTGGTATCTAAGTCTCCATCCAATGCATTTTACAGCTGTACACATTTATGGTCTCTAGCTTCAGCTCAATCCTCAGTACCCTTGGGCGATACTTTTATGTCTTCCCAGCATGCTCTGCTTCCCCAAAGGGAATGTTTGAGACTTTTATTTCTCTCCTCAGGCCTTGTGTTTATACCCCATTGTGTCCACTATTGGTTCATGACTGAATTTCTCCTCACAGAGAAAAGACTCAGGTATTACGTTGTTCATCTTCCTTACTTACCTATAAACCTGTCTTCTTCACCTACCTGCCCTGCCATCCATCTTTCCATGCTGCTAGAACCTCTTCTCCCACGATTTCTGTGATAGTGTGTGCTCACAGTTCTCCCACTTCTCTGGGCACTTGCTTTCAGTCTTTCCCAGCTCTGATCCTTCCTCCACCCTATTGGCTACCAGGGCATCTTTTCAGTGCATAGAGGTGATCATATCACCCTCCTCCATATCTTAAAACATTTCAGTGACAGTAACAGGCAAAAGGATCTGTAGTGATACAAGACAGAACTCTGGAGGGAATGGGAATTTATTACAATAGGGCTTGAGGATGTCTTCTCAGGTGTTAGAAATATTCTCTGTCTTGCTTTGGGTAGTGCACATGGGTCTAGTCATACATAAAAATTCACTGAGCTGTACGTTAAGGCAGTACATTTTACTCAATGTATACCTCAGCTTTAAAAGATAAAATCTTCTCTTATTCCTACAGGTTCCAAATTCCTTGGAATAGCATATAGATTCCTATTTATTCCTCCCCCAGATTAAGGTATAAGCATCTTCTTGTGAAGCCCCTCCCGGCTTTCCAAGGGATACAGCTCTTCCATACTCACATAGGACCTCTAAACTTAGGCCTATCATCATCATTTGGAGACTGTTTTGTAATGCTACCTTCACTTCCCTCAGTAGGCTGGAGGTCCTGAGGGATAGGAACCATCTCTTTTTGGTTTCTTTGCTCTCCTAAGACCTTGGGCAGCGGGTGGCAAATGGCCCCCATAAATGTGTGTTAATGAACTTTGTATTTGCTTTGAGTTTGACCCTCATAACTGAAAAGTTTCTTCCTTCAGCCTCCAGGATGTTTCCTCAGTGAGAAGAAGGCTGTGGTGCAATGGCAGTGTTTGATACCCCTCAGGAGGCCTTTGGCATCCTCCGTCCAGTCTGTGTTCAGCTCACAAAGAGCCAGACAGTGGAGAATGTGGAACATCTGCAGGCACAATTACAAGCTGTGAGTGATGCTGCCCTTCAGGAATTGCAGCAGTACATCCTCTTCCCTTTACGATTTACCTTGAAGACCCCAGGTCCCAAACGAGAGCGCTTGGTCCAGAGTGTGGTGGAATGCCTCACATTTGTCCTCTCTTCAACATGTGTGAAAGAGCTCGAGCTTCTTCAGGAACTCTTTTCAGAACTCTCTGCATGTTTGTATTCACCCAACTCCCAGAAACCTGCCGCTGTGTCAGAGGAATTGAAATTGGCTGTGATCCAGGGACTTAACACCTTAATGCACTCAGCTTATGGCGACATCATTCTGGCCTTTTATGAGCCCTCCATTCTGCCTCGTTTAGGATTTGCTGTATCTTTACTGTTGGGCTTGGCAGAACAGGAGAAATCAAAGCAAATTAAAATTGCTGCCTTAAAATGTTTACAGGTTCTACTCTTTCAGTGCGATTGTCAAGACCATCCTAGGTCTTTGGATGAGCTTGAGCAACAGCAGCTGGGGGATTTGTTTGCTTCTTTTTTACCTGGAATCTCAACTGCACTGACCAGGGTTATCACAGGAGACTTTAAACAAGGTCACAGCATTGTGGTATGTTCTCTGAGGGTCTTTTACAAAACAGTAGGCTTTGTTATGGCTGATGAACAGCTCAGAAGAATCTCAAAAGTCCGAGCAAAGCCTGCAGTTGAGCATAGAATTGCAGAGCTGATGGTTCACAGAGAAGGAGAATGGGTGAAAAATACTGGTGACAAGTTGGTGATCCTTATTAAAAAGATAATTGAGTGTATTTTGGTTCACCCACACTGGAAGGTGAGGCTAGAGCTGGTAGACCTTGTGGAGGACCTTCTTTTAAAGTGCAGTCAATCACTGGTTGATTCTGCTGGTCCCCTCCTGAAGGCTTTAGTGGGCCTTGTAAACGATGAGAGTCCTGAAGTCCAAGTCCAGTGCAATAATGTTCTGAGACACTTCGCAGATCAAAAAGTAGTGGTGGGCAACAGAGCTTTTACTGACATCTTGTCAGAAAGCCTGCATTCCCTTGCCACATCTCTTCCCCGCCTCATGAACTCCCAAGATGATCAGGGCAAATTCTCTACGCTGTCCTTATTACTTGGTTATCTGAAACTCTTGGGCCCCAAAATAAACTTTGTCTTCAACTCTGTGGCCCATCTCCAGCGACTTTCCAAAGCACTCATCCAAGTTCTAGAACTGGATGTTACTGACATAAAAATTGTTGAAGAGCGGAGTTGGAATTCTGATGACTTGAGTGCTTCTCCGGAGGGCCCCACCACACGGCGAGGAAACCAAGTGCAGAGAAGATATTTCCGCTTCTTCACTGATGAGAGAGTTTTTCTGCTCTTGCGACAAGTTTGTCGGCTTCTTGGATATTATGGGAACCTTTATTTGCTGGTGGATCACTTTATGGAACTTTACCAGGAGTCTGTGGTTTACCGGAAACAAGCTGCCATGATCCTTAATGAACTGGTTGTAGGGGCTGCTGGGCTGGAAGTAGAGGATCTTCATGAAAAGCATATTAAAACAAGCCTAGAGGAACTGAGAGAGATTGTGACATCTTTACTTGAGGTATACACGAGCCAAGAAAACTGGTATTTGGTTACCTGTATTGAAACTGAGGAGAGGGAAGAGCTAATGATGAAACAGTCAGATCTCCAGGCCATCACATCTGGTGTACACACCTGCCAGATTGTATCTTTTCCAGCCTTCTCAAAGCCAAGCCCTACTATTTGTTCCATGAACAGCAACATCTGGCAAGTATGCATTCAGTTGGAAGGGATTAGCCGCTTTGCTTATGCACTAGGAAAAGACTTTCGTTTGCTCTTGATGTCAGCCCTCTATCCAGTACTAGAGAAGGCTGGAGACCAAACCCTGCTTATTAGTCAGGTGGCTACCAGCACAATGGTAGGTATTTGTGTTGCTTGCGACTATGACTCCCTACAGGACCTGATCAATCAAAATTCAGACTATTTGGTGAATGGCATCTCCTTAAGTCTGCGCCATCTATCTCTGCACCCTCATACCTCAAAGGTTTTGGAAGTCATGCTGCGAAACTCAGATGCTACCCTGCTTCCTTTGGTGGCAGATGTGGTTCAAGATGTCTTGGCCACCCTGGACCAATTCTACAATACGAGAGCTGCTTCCTTTGTCAGCGTTCTCCACGCCCTGCTGGTAGCATTAGGTACGTTGAAAGCCATGTTTTTAAATGTTGACGGGGGGATAGTACTTAATATTCTAGTTTGCCCAGTCTTACTCTTTTTTAGCATTTGTGGTTATTTCATGGAGAATATTTGAAAAGCTTTCCCTCCAGTCCCACATTATGGTATGGTTCTATTGTTTATTTTTTATGCTTTCAATAATCTACTATTTATTGAGCACCTGCTCTGTGTCAGGGATATAAACCTTATGGGCTAAATATCAACATTATTTTTATTTTACAAATATGAAAAACGAAGGCCCCGTGAGATCATGCCTAGCCAGGGTCATACAATACGGGATAAAGTCAGGATTTATGACAATTTTATTCTTTCCAATATACCAAACTGCTGCTGCTGATACTTAGAGTTAGCAGTATCTATGCTAATGGAGAACAGAAATAGCATGAATTATTCATTCCACAGATGGTTAGAACAGCACTGTCCAACAGAACTTTCTGTGATGATGGTACTACCCTGTATATCTGTTCCAATACAATAGCTACTAGCTGCATGTGGCTAGTACGACTGGGGAATTGAATTTTCACTTTTGTTTAATTTTAGTACCTGATATAGCAACATGTAGCCACATGTATTATACTGGACAGAGGAGATCTAAAGTTCTTTTTAACCTTTTAATTGTATAAGTTGATTTGCATTTTTCATCTCCCATTTGATCTTCTTAAGTTCCTGCTGGAGATGCTAGCCCACCATCAGAATGGCAACATTTTCTATAAGCGAAAAGAATCTCTCAACTGGACAATCTTTGATTGAAAAAAATGAGCTATAGACCTGGGTGTCTTTTATCCAAAAACCTACCTGCAGTATGTATTTTAGTACTGCTAATAGCCTTTGAGGCAGCTAGAAAGGTTCTTTACCTCATTTTATCAGGTGAAAAAGCCAAGAACATGTAAGAAAGTTTCTTGGGTAAGGTGTCTGGGGCAGGGTCTGTGCTCTACCCGTAGCTGATGCTATTTCCAATGTTCCTTCCTGCATTCCTGAGCATTTACAATAGCACAAATGTTCTCTCATTCAATAAACAGCACCTGCCATATGTCAGATACAGTGCTAAGTATTAAGGGACAGCAGTGAACAAGATGAATAAACTTAGAGAATTTTCCTCCTACTGCAAGAGAGATGATAAACAAGTAAACAAATCATTAAACAAGCTCACTCCAGACTCTGATAAGCACTGAGAAGGAAATCAACACCTTGATGCACAGGAGTAACAGGGACACCCACTTTAAATTGAGTGGTCAGGAAGGATAAAAAGGCCCCACGTATGTACAGGGCTGTCACATTGTTTTTATGATTTGTAAGAACATTCAGGCAAAGGGAGCTCCGGGTGTGAAGGCCAGGAGGAAAGAAAGGGGTGGAGATATTTGGAGAATGGAGAAGAGATCATTAGAGAGAGAATGGTACAAGATGAAACTGGAAAAGAGGGCAAACCTTCAGGGCCATAGAGGCCAAGGGAAGGAGTTTGATGAAACAGTCAGATCTCCAGGCCATCACATCTGGTGTACACATCTGCCAGATTGTATCTTTTCCAGCCTTCTCAAAGCCAAGCCCTACTATTTGCTCCATGAACAGCAACATCTGGCAAGTATGCATTCAGTTGGAAGGGATTAGCCTCTCTGCGTATGCACTAGGAAAAGACTTTCGTTTGCTCTTGATGTCAGCCCTCTATCCAGTACTAGAGAAGACTGGATACTTTGCAGTCACTCACAAGCCTGTACTGTGGCCAGTAGGTAGGGAGGAGGCAGCTCTGAAGAGTACTCACCAGGGCCTGCCCTCACGGAGCGCCTCCTGAAACTGGCTGGCCACTTAGGCATAGCAGACTAGGACTGGCTTCCATGGGCCAAACAGATCCACCTTTACACTTTGACAAATTATACTACATTTCAATTTGAGATTTAAACAAATTCAAAAGGCCAATGACATACATCTCTTGGGAGATACCTCAATTTAAGTCTTGAAAATTGAATTGCTTTAGATTGCTGGTGTCTTTGGTCATCTCTGAAAGAAAGTGGTGTAATCCTCTGTAGTGCTTTTTTTCTTTTTAATTGAGGAAGAGGGTCTCTTGCAGCAAGGAAACTGAAGATGGTTAAAACTGATTCTGGAACTTCCTAGGAAGACAAGCAAAATTGAAAATAGCTTTTCTGTAAGTTTTGAAATAACCCAGAATACACTTGCATTTTTTTTTAAGCTTTTTTTCTTGTTTGTTTTTTTGTTTGTTTTTTTTTGTCCGGTACTGGGAATCGAACTCATGACCTTGCACTTGCCAGGCAGGTGCTGTGCTGCTGAGCTAAATCCCCAGCCCCACACTTGCATTTTTAATGCATAGTAAGTAGTAAAGTTGATACAGTTATTCATGAATCAAAGTAGCACTTTATGCCAGCATTTTTGTTTGTTATCTAACTGATCAGTTGTCCAACCGATGATCTCTTTTAAAATGAGGATGAGGCGAGCATGATGGTACATGCCTATAATCCCAGCACTTGGAGGGCTTAGGCAGAAGGATAGCCTTGAGTTGCACCATAGCTGCCAGTGTGGGTTACATAGTTCAGAGTCAGCCTGAGCTACATACTAAGCCCCTATCTTTAGGTAGGTAGGTAGGTAGGTAGGTAGGTAGATAGATAGGTAGATAGATAGATAGATAGATAGATAGATAGATAGAGAAGTGTGCTGTCAGAGAACTGAGAGGTCTTAAGAAAGCCCCGTACGTTTTAGAAAATAAGTTGCACACACAGTGTTTTACACGCATCCACAAAGAAAGCAAGAACCAGAGGTAACCAGGCATGGTGGTATGTGCCTATAATCTCAGCTACTCAAGGCTGAAGCAGGAGGATTGCAAGTTTGAGGCCAGCCTGGGCAATTTAGAACCAGACTCAAATATAAAAAAATAAATAAACAGAAAGGGCTGAGGATGTAGCACATACATAGAGGGATGCTGCATTTTCATGGCTGCATCATATCCCACTGTGGCCGCACTGTAGTTTTTTTAACCAGTCCTGTCTTGATAGGTGTTTTGGTGGCTTCAAATCTTTTGCCACCACCAAAAAAAAAAAAAAAAAAAAAAAATTAATGAATATCCTTCCAGGTATTTTTGAATATGCTTCTATATATCAGTAGGATAAATTCCTGAAAGAAATGCTGGTTTAAAAGGGTATTATATTTTAATTTTTGATTGAAAGTATCAAATTGCTCTCCTAAGAGGTTGTATCAATTTAGACTCCATCAGCAATGTAAGAGTGCCAGTTTTGCCGCGCCCTCACCCACACTGTACATTACCAAGCTTTTGATCTTTGCTAACCCGATAGTAGAAAAATGGTACCTTATTATAGTTTTAATTTGCATTAAGAGTGGGGTTGAGCTTCTTTTCATATGTTTAAAAGCCATTTGTGAGCAAAGATATTTTAATGTCTGGCGCTAGCCTGGAATCTAGAAATAATCTTTATACAGCATCTAATACTAGCCATGTGATGCTGGGTCCAGGATTTAACTGTTTGGAAACCAGTCCCTTAGAGTACACTAAATACCTGATTTACACCTGGGAATGATGCATATAAGAAATATCATAATCGATCCCTATGTACAGGAACCTCCGGATCCTAGATTGAAGGCTGTCATCTCAGACATTTGCTCTTAGCTACGCCCAATTGCCTGGCCCCATCATTTCCTGTCTGCTGTTACTCTGGCTCTGTGCAGAGGCCCCTTGATGAAAAAATGAAATGAGCAGGTGGTAGAGGTTATCAAAGTCTACTTCTCTGCTATCTACAAAAGGAGGGTGAGGGACTAGAGTAGCAATTTAAGTATTAAGAGCCATTCTTGAAATGAAGCTTTGAGGGGACCCCAGGATACAAAAACAGTTGAATTGGAACTGCTCTGTTAGGAATAGACTCTGGGACACACCCCATCCCCTTTAGCCTGCTGCCTGTTGCTGTCCTCCCTGTGGAGATCCCTGAGGCCCCTCAAGGCACAGGGTGAAAACGACTTGAGTCTGCAATGTTTCAGGCTTATTCTGTGATGACCTATCAGAGGTACTGGAGCACCACCAAAGGGAAAACTTCGGAGAGAAAATGGACAGCCTTCTGTTGTGTTAGAAATACAGTGTGAGACTGTCCATTCTTAAAGTCTGTAGTCTGTCTTCTGCTAATGAGTAGATATCCTGTACTCAGAATTTGCCAGTTTACCTATTCTCCAATCTCATGTATTTTTTCACTCAGCATGTATTTTGAGCGCCCATGCTATGCTGGGTACATTGGAGTGTAGCGTCTAATGGGAGATTAAGATACCAAGCAGTACACACAAAATATACAGTTACAAACTGTAATGAGTTGATACAAAAGGAATGAACATAGTGCTAGATAGCAAGACCTTGCATAAGTGACCTAAGTTAGATTGAATACTGAAAAGATGGCTTACTGGGCAAGTTCTAATTCTACTAAGACATGAAAAGTGATTTCCAATTAGCTAGTTATAAATTAAGGGGAAAAATACTCAGACAGTAACTATAGCATGTGTAAAAGTTCTGAGGGAGGAAAAGTTTTGGTGCATTGGAGGAGCTCAAAGATAGTAAATAATCAGACAACTGCAGTAGTAGAAGATGAGGCAGAGAGTAGATGGTGGGGAGGCCACACAGGCCATGGCAAAGAGCTAATTCTACTGATGAAGTGCTAATGCTGCTTATTAATGACCAAGGTGATCATTACAACATTTTATCTACAGCCCAGTGGTTCCCAGAAACAAGTTACACTGGGCAACCCCAAGATCAAAACTTAAAGGAGGAGGGAAGTTATTTGCACCAAACTCTTGAGAATAACACTACAGCTGAAGACATTGAACAGTTTGTGCTGGGGTACCTCAAAGAGAAGGATGTGGCAGAGGGAAATGTCCTGGAGTTTGACAGTGATGAAGGTAATTATTACTTATTTTGTCTTAGTTCTTTCTTTCTTTTTGAAATAGACTGTTGTAAAAACAGGGAAGCATCATTCCACAGAGATTCAGAAATAGCAAAAAGTCACTCAATTTCACTATGCTAACGTAGCCATTCTCATTTTTTGTTTAATATTTTTCCATTCTTTTTGGGTATAAACCTATTTTTACATGATTGCAGTCATGATTTTTGTTTTGTGGTGTGGTGCTGGTGATGGAACTTGGGCCTCATGCATGCTAGGTAAGCTCACTACCACTGAGCTACACCCGCAGCCCCCTGCAGCCATAGCCATAGCATCATACCCTTTTTGTGACTAGTTATAAGCAATGCTCCATGTTGCTCTAGAGGTTTCATAATTAATGTTTTAATAACTGTTACTAAGTGTCTACTCCCCGTCAGGAGGATTTTGTTGCTTCTAGCTTTTTCTGTAGTAAATGGTGCTGCAGTGGATGATTCTGTACATGTGAGCTTCTCTTCTCCTGGCATATTTCTTTCTTATTGTTGTTTTTCTTTGCAGGGGAGAGTTGCCTTTTTGAGACAGGGTTTCACTATGTAGTTGAGGCTGGCCTTGAACTCACTTTGTAACCCCGATGGGCTTCAAACTCACAGCGATCCTCCTGCCTCAGCCTTCTGAGTGCTGGGATTACAGGTGTGCACCACCACGCCTGGCCTGGCATATTTCTTTATAAATTTCCAAAAGTAGGATTTGTGGATCAAGGATGTGAACATTAGTTAATGCTTGCCAAATTGCCTTCCAATACGGTGGTATTGATTTATACCTTTCCTTCAGCGGAACAGGATTAATACTCGTTTCACCACAATCTTGGTGAAACCAAGGTAAAAGTAAAATTACCAATTTTACTTTTCCTAAATTGTAAGTTTAAAAAATTGCTTTTGTTCTTTTACTTCATATTTTCTTAAATTACTGGCAAAGTTGAACTTACTTCTGTTTCTGTATGCTTTTTTGTCATTGTTATATTGTTTTGAGACAGGGTCTTTCATGCTTTGTAGTTTGTGCTGGCCTTGAATTCACCATATAACCTAGGCTGGCCTTGAATTTGCAACAGTCCTCCTGCCTCAGCATCCTGAATGCTGGGATTAAGGTGTTAACCACCACTCCTGGCTTCTGTATGCTTCTTTTCCAACGTTTTTCCTACCTTAAGCTCATTGTTTGTTCATATGCTTTGTCCATTTATTTATTGCTAAGAAGAGATTCCAATGTTTTTCTTACCTATTTATATGATAAAGGAAAAGAGAGTTCAGGCTAGTAGCAGCTCTGGCCTCTTGTTTTATTCACAAACTCAATCTGGAGCTTCAGGTCAGGAAAGGATTAATAAATTATTAGAATCTCCTCTGCAAATATAAAATGCCAAGTCATAATGAGCTTGGTGGTCCCAGAACTATCCTAAGTCGAACTGAGTCCCAAATTAGTTTGTTAGGTTGGAATTGAGCAGATTTCTTTTTTTTTTTGTTCTCCCCTACCCACAATCTGTACTGTAAGATTCTAGTGAACTAAAGCCAGTACTTCCAGGATAATAGGAACTAGTGGTGTTTCTGGATAGGCTTCTGTCTGGATGTCCTTCCAAAGCCTCATGCAATAGGTAGGGCTTTTTCAGAGGTGATTGGATCTAGAATGTGTGGCACTGGAATTGATTCATGGTACAATGCTATGATCAAGAGCACTAGTGTAGCAGAAAATGCCCCTCTCCTGCCAGTATACTTCAGTTTGTTAGTTGCCCAGGTAATAGTTCCTGTTTCAGTTCTGGTTGCTCCAGTCTCTTAGAAATGGCTGGTCACTGTGATATATATAGCTGGTCACTGTGATGCACATTGTATAAACCAATCTCCAGTTGACAAGCCATTCTGCCTCTGTACTTCCAGCTTACCTAGCTCATATAAGCCCTAGACCACCAGAGATCAGAGCCTGATATTCTGGTAATGATCCCGATCAGTGCCTGTCCACGTAAATAAATCTGCCTCTAAATCCTGCGTGTCATTTCCTGTTTCTGCTTGGCATTGCACTAGGATTAAGGGTGTGAGTGCTACCTGTCCTGAGTAGTCTGGATAAGATAAAAGGGGGAGAAAGGTGTTGTTAAGGCCTCTTGTTGTTTTTGCTACCTTGGTTAGCACCACAGGAGCCATGAATTATTCTCTGTGATGCCTCTCTGCCAAGTCACCCTGCCTTGGACTCAAACCTCTACAGACTGTGAGCTAAATAAACCTTTCCTCCCTTAACTTGTGGGTGTTGGATATTTTGTCTCAACAATGAGAAAAGTAACTCAGACAAGTGGCTTGTTGCATTAACTACAGTAAATTCTTTCTAAATAGCCCTGAAGCATCACAAGGTCTAAATAATGGTTGATGCAGAGTTGAGTCATTGCTGTCCCCACAGACAGAATTTTCTTGATTAGAAATATGTTGGGCTTTTTATTCTCATGTTTGTTCCTTGACACAAACAAATTTTTTTTTGTGAACTGTGCACGTCACCCAAACCTGGAAGCCCTGAAGAAGGGAAAGCATCTTGATCCTTCATAAGCTAGATTGCCTTTCTGGTTTAAAATTCAGGCACTGTCCATTTCTTTATGATTAGAATCTTCTGTTTCTAGTGGATATTGGGTCAAAGCAGACTCAATGAATCAAACCCTCTTCCAAAAACAAAATCCACATCTCTCAAATAACATTCTACAGTAGGAAAATTTCAAATGACAAATCTTTATCTGGGAAAAAAAAACCACACATAGCTCTATCATTCATACTATTATCATTCATCACATATAAACCATGTACTTGGCATTACAAAGAATGTTTGGCTTGATATTGGATTGACATCAGTATTTTGTTTTAACCACATAAAAGTACCTTCTATATCCGTGATCCTTTTCTCCAAGAAATCCAAGCATTCTGCAAGTGCATTTTCATCTATCTTTCCAGCACCTGTTAGAGACAGGTGCAGCCTCTGTTGTAAGATTCTGTTTTTCCAGCAAAGGAAACTAAAATGAGAAAATGTTAAGGGAACAACACTCAGTTCAGTGGAAATGAGCACAGCTGGTAATTAAGGATTTAGGGACAGGGATGGGGGCGGGAGTGTGAGCAGAAGAAAATTTTTCAAGGTGGGGAGTTTGGCCTGAGTTTCATACAGTTCTCGTCTTTCTGGTATTTTTAAGTTACAGGCTTATATCTATCTCGTACAACACAGTATTCTTTGTAGTAAGAGAATGGTAGTAGCTGGCAGCATTCTTCCCATTTACTCCTCTCCACAAGCAGATGAGATATATACTTTGTCTGTTTTAGCCAGGTGAGGTAATGTAGGAGAAACTGCCATAAGTTGTGGAGGCTAGACTTGTACTGAACTCTGACCAAGCCTTATTCATTTTGTATTACACCAGGCTGCCCTGGTCTCTTCTCTCATACAAAGATGAGTGAGGCTTAATACTGGCCACCAAAAGATCTTAAAGACTGGCGGAGAAGATATATATCAAAAGATGAAGTAGAAGAAAAGAATGGAAGTCAGAGAAAAAGCCAGCTGGGGAGGGGCCCAACCTCAGGATTCCAAATTAGAACTCTGCTCTTTGTATGTTTCTATTTTAAATATTCATTAATTGAAATTTAGAAAAGACCAAAAATATAAGAAAAATTTTTAAGTGATCTATTATCTTATCATCCTGTCACTATTGATACTTTGTTGTACTTCCTCCTATGTAAAAATTTATATAATGTTCATGCTGTACATACAATTTTATACCATATTGCCAGGCGTGGTGGCTCATGCCTGTAATCCCAGCACTCGGGAGGCTGAGGCAGGAGGATCATTGTGAATTCGAGGCCAGCCTGAAGTACAAAGTGAGCTCAAGACCTGCCTGAACTGCATAGTGAGATCTTGTCTCAAAAAAAAAAGGCAATTTTATACCATATTTTTTCTTTTTAACATAGTATTATTTCATAAGCATTTTATCTTATCACTAAAATCCTTACAAAGTATAATTAGGAACCTTGTAACATACCATTTTATGGATATACCATGGTTTATATACCCATTCCCCCTTGAGTGGACATATAGGGTATTTTTGTCCATTTATGATGTTAGAACTAAGTAGCTAAGACTGGATAATTTATAAAGAACAGAAATTTATTTTCTCACACTTCTGAGGCTGTGAATTTCAAGATTAAGGTGCTAGTGGGTTCATTTATCTGGTAAGGGTTGTTCTCTGCTTCCCTTGGTCCCTTGTTCATATGTCCTTCCTAGGAAGGAGCACTGTGTCCCCAGTGGTAAAGGCAGAAGAGTCAGCGAGCTAGATGAAGCCTCTTTTATACAGGCCTTGATCCCAATCACAAGGGGAGGAGCTCTGTGGCCTAATAACCTCTTACGTGCTCCACCTCCTACCGCTGTCACATTGACTGTGACGGTTCAACTGTAGAATTTTAGAGGGAACACATTCAGACCATAGAAGCGTGTTCTTCCCAGTGTGTAGCTGATAACAGTTAATGCTGCCATAAATGTTTTGACTTGTACAGCTTGGCCCACATTTCAGATGGTTTCCTTAAGACCCTTTCCAAGACATTTTCCTCTTAGTACTGTTCCTAAATCAGAAGCGGAGGATCAAGCTGGGTTGGAGCACCTCTCATAAAAATTACCAATTATGCTCTTCTTGCAGAGGAGCTGTCAGTCCCTCCAAAATTGGATGAGAATGACACCCTTCCAGATGCAGAACCACCACTGCCAGTGCAGATCCAGATAGCCAAGGACGTGATGGAACGCTGCATCCACTTGTTGTCAGATAAAAACCTGAAGATCCGCCTGAAGGTCAGGGTGTATCCCCTTCTTTGCACTCCCAGAACAGCAAGATTAAATGTGATCTGGCTGGCAGTGGCTACATGGATGAGCATGTAACTTCCCATATCTCCTGGTCCAGTGTGGTGGCCATGAGAATGCATAAAGAGGAATTTGTCTGTGGGATGACACTTTTACATCTCCCTTTACCAGCTCAGATGCCAAAAGGGAGCTGATCTTTATGAAGAACCACAAAGTTTTTGAGATTCATTGACTGTCCAAGCGAAAGAAAATTATGTGCTTTAAAAGAATGTCATTATCTGAGCTGACTTAATGCAGAATGCAGGTTTTAATACTTGGACTTGGTCATTCTTCCAAGTCTGACCCTTGTCTCTGTTTCTGTTTCTATTTTCATCCTAGGAAAAACCCCAACACTTTTCATGGTATTACATCCTCATCCTCTTGCTCAGCAAACTAGGTAGCAGTTTGCTGAGCAAGCACCCCATTAGCAAGGACTTAAATACACAGTGACTCAGTAACACGACAGTGTGGTGGAGTGGTAGTGAGTGCCAGGTTTTTGAGAAATGCTCTGGAGACCTTATGCCCAAAGGAAAACTGCTTTCCTCTGCATTTCCAAGGAAGAGGGAGAAATGACTGCCTTAGTTACTCCCTGGTGACCATGGGAGCACATTGCCTTGCTCAGAGATGGGGGCCACGGTTGGAAACACTGATCCACAGATTATCTCAGTTCTCAGGTCTGTACTGTGTGGAGTTCGTTGTCTTACAGAGACATCTGTACATTCAGCAAACACTTTTTGAGTGCTTGTTAAATGCAAGGCTTTAGTATAGGTACCTGGTTGATACATTTAGCAAACTCCTAAATATCCTTTAAGATCTTCCCTGTTACGGGGTTTTATAGCAACTTCATACACATGGTGGTCATTAAAAGCATCAGTACTGGAGTCAGACCTACATACCTAAATGCAAATCTTTGAGCCAGATGTGGTGGTTCACATCTGTAATCCCAGCACTCAGGAGGCTGAGGCAAGAGGATCCCCATGAGTTCAAAGCCACCCTGGATTACATGAGTTCAAGCCCAGCCTGAACTACCTAGCAAGACCCTGACTCAAAAAAGAAAATTAAATTCAAATCTTTGTGCTGCCCCTTACTAGCCATGTGACCTTAAGTAAGTTAGTTCACTATGTTGAGCCTTAGCATCTTTACATGTAACATGGAGATGAGGCTACCTGCCTCACAGGTTGTTGGTTACAGAGATAGAATAGCACAAGGTATGATATATACACTCATTCATTCACTCACTAAATTCTATTGAAGACTTCTGCAGGCCAAGCAGAGAGAATATGGAAGGAAATGCAATGGGCATGATCCCTGTCTTCCTAGAACTTGTCTGTTGGGGGGAGAGAGGCAATTCAAAAACACACATCTAGATCAAGTTAATATTAGCAAGGTAGTAAGCAGGTGCTGTGGTAGAAAATAGTAATTCACGTATGTACAAGGGCTGATTAAAAGATACAGTGTGTGAGCTGGGCATGGTGGCACGTGCCTGAAATCTCAGCACTGGGGAGGCTGAGGGAGGAGGATCATCATGAGTTTAAAGCCAACCTGAACTATATACTGAGATTCTGTCTTAAAAAAAAAAAAAATTAAAAAAATACAGTGTTTGTTTAAATGTTTAAAAATTACTACAGTAAAAGACACATTGCCTAGCCAGGTGTGGTGGCACATGCCTATAATCCCAACACTCAGGAGGCTGAGGCAGGGGGATTGTTGCAAGTTTGAGACCAGCTTGAGCTACAAAGAGAGCTCAAGATCAGTCTGAACTACATAGTGAGACCCTGTCTCAAAAAAAGCCAAAAAAAAAAAAAAAAAAAAAAAGATACATTGCCATTAATCCTCCTCAAAATACTCAGCCTTGCCTTGAAAACACCCCATCATTCTTACCCCTTTCTGAATCACTTCTAGAAGTCTTTAGTGTCTTTAGTTGTGCCATTGTGGACACCTCCATGTCCTGACTCAATTTAAAACATTGGCCTTTCCTGGTCATTTTGACCTTGGGGAAGAGCCAGAAGTCTCATGGTACCAGATCCAGTAAGTAAAATGGACACACTATAATTTTTTTTTGAGCCTGCCTTTCCATTGGATGGCACTGTAATTTTATCACATCTTATAAAGACACGCACAAGAGAGGACTTCCAGAACCACATCAGAAAATGGCAAAAATGATGGGATAAATGTTTTTGAAGAGGGGAGAAGTATTTTGAGAGGGGATCATGGCAATATGTTTTCTACTATAATAAATTTTTAAAAATTTAAACATTCGCTATATATTTCAATTAGCATTTGTGCTCTTCAGCAAACTATGTTGAACAAGACAGAGCTTACATTCTGATTTAGACTAGGTCATCTCAGACGACCTCTCTGAGGTGTTAACATTTCTCAAGGGTGAGGAGCCAGCCATGCAAAGGGACACAGGCAGAGAGAAAGTAAGCAGCAGGGAAAATGTGCACCTTTGAATCACAACATCTAATGCAACTTGTCCAGTTAGTGACAAAATTCAAATTAAAGCCAGCCAGCGATACCAAAGCCACTTTCAGTATACTGCTGTGTTCTCCACAGTACTACCAATGAGTCCCCTCCCAAGGACAGAAGCTGTTCTGTTTAGCATTTCTGTTCCACCTGTGTGGACCAGGGCATAGAAGGCTCCTAGTAAAGATTAATGTTGGCAGACTCCACTCTTCCTAATTAAGGTCTTTGTCCTATTATCATAAGCACCTTAAAGGCAAGGAAGCATGTGTATTTCATCCTTGTGTGTCGCTGACCTGGCCTGTAGTCAGAACTCAGTAACTAGTTACTCAGTTAATGCATTGCTCAATCTTATTTTTTAAGTAGTGGCCTGATTCCAAGTACTTGGTTTCAAACCATTACTGTCTGCTGAAATCGTATCTTTTCTTTCAGGTTTTAGATGTGCTGGGTTTATGTGTAGTTGTTCTGCAGTCACATAAAAACCAGCTGCTTCCTTTGGTTCATCGGGCCTGGCCCTCACTAGTGCACCGACTCACAAATGATGACCCCCTGGCAGTCCTCAGAGCCTTCAAGGTACTGCATTGATGCTGCACTATCCGTCATGGGGATACACATCATAAACACAGAGCTCACCAGGCTCTTTTGCGTTGCTTCTCTTTTTATGTGATTGCAATGTCACAGATCTTGACGAAAGTATGGAAAAGTAAGAAAAGCGCAAAGAAGAAAATAAGTCACTTTCCTATTGCATTTGAGTCAGGGTGAACTAGCAAAGCAAAGGGCCGCCAGCATGTATTGAACATCTCCTGTGTGCCAGGAAGTGAACTTGGCATTTCCCCCACACACATAAGCTCATCTCATAGCTGTGCAAGGTGAGTATATGATCTCCATTTTTCAATAGAGGAGGAAGCAAGGTCAGAGAAGTTAAGGAAGTATCTCAAATCATACAACTAGCAGGTAATAGAACTGAGATCTGTGAGTTCATGCTCATGCTCATTGCAGTGCTCAGAAGTCAAGGTGAAGGGGCCTGCGTTCTAGCCCTGGACATCCCCTGTCTAGCCAGACAGCGGAGCAAAGCCCATGACCACCCATTTTCAGGCAGTGCATAGGAATACCTCCCCACCTTCCTCGCAGTGCTGTCAAGGATAAAATGGGACTCTGCTGAAGTGCTTTGGAAAGCTAAAAGCCCTGTAGAGATGTCAGGTGCTTTTCTCCCTTAGTTTGGCTCGTATTAGCACATGTATTTTAGCTTATTTATTTCTGTCCTTTCTTATTCTAAAAGGCACTTCCAGCATCCTTCAGAGATACATTTACCATGGCAAGCTAACATAAATTAGAACTGGGTGAGCAAGATGAGGCAAAGAAAAAAGATGTGTAGGGACATAGATGAAATTGAGAATGCAGTGAATGTACTTGGCAAGAGAAGTTTGATTTTCTGTAAGAGTCTTCAGCGTATACTGTGCCAAAATACCAGTTTACATTCAAAACACGTAAAATTGTTACTATTTTTTTCCAAAGCAAAATGTATAAAATAGCAAGTTTGTGTGTATGTAGAGAGAGAAGAAAGGAGGGAGGTATTACTAAATCCTACTCAGATGTGTTTTCCTTTATGAAAATTACTAGGCTATCAAATATTATAGCAAGTGTAGAAAAATGAAGAACTATAAAGATGTGTGTGCCGAACCCGAAACTGTATTTTCCACACACAAGCACGTTGATGACACCGGAGGTCTGCAAACGCTGTGCAGTCCAGCCCAGGGACTTTAAACGAGTGCCTTCCTCTTTGCAGAGTGGGCAAATGCTCTATGTGCTGGTTACACCTTGCTTACCAATTTTTAAAGAAATTCCTGCTCTATACTCAGTCTTGTGCAGCGGGGCAAAACGTTTCAATATGTTCTGCTAGAGAAAGTTTAGAATGAGACACGTAAAGAAACTGCCTGTTGTGAGATAGAATAAGAGTGATATACATACGCGATTGTGCGGTCTAACAGAAGGAACATGGAGTCATCTTTAGCCCCAGGGACTGGCCTGGGTTCAGCCAGAGACCTCAGCCTCCCCAGTCCTTCCCTCACTCAGCATACCCTACCCCGGGCCTGCACATGGCAGGTACTGGGCCTTAGTGCTTGTGTTTGCTCAGCTAGCGAGACTTAAAAGCCCAAGTCTTTTCTCTAGGGATGTTAGGGAAATTTCAGAGATAATCCATGTGAATTGCTTTAAGCTTTTTTTTTTTTTTTAATGAAAAAAAAGGGAGGAAAACCAAGTTATTAATCATATTATTCATCCAACTCAAGATTCTTTGAATTATTCTCCATGTAATCTGTATTTATGGATAGAAGCAGCTGTGCCTTAGGAGCAGAGACCTCTGAATTCATAACTGTCAGAATCACCAACCATGGGCAAGGAATTAGCAGCAGTAATTCTGTTTTGCTTTTTTCAAGTAGAGACCTAGATGGAATTAAATTACCAAGCGTTCTTTAGTCCTCCTACTGCCTCGCTGATGTTCAGTCAGCAAGCTGGGGACTGTTTCTGCAGGTTTTGTGCACACTGGGAGGCAAGTGTGGTGATTTTCTTCGGAACCGGTTCTGCAAAGATGTGCTGCCAAAGCTGGCTGGCTCCTTGGTTACCCAGGCTCCCATCAGTGCCAGGGCTGGACCAGTTTACTCGCACACACTGGCCTTCAAGTTGCAGCTGGCTGTCTTGCAGGGCCTGGGTCCCCTCTCTGAGAGTCTGGAATTAGGTAGGTACCAACTCACCTCACCTAGATACCAACCCTGCATCCTGTCTCATCCCTGCCTCGTGTTCTTGCCCCTCCTCTCCTTTTGTGTCATCTTCATCCGTCTTTCTTTGGCCCCATTTGTCCATCTGGCATGCATTTCCTGACTCTTAGGATGGGGTATAGAGCTCAGGGAATGTTGCCCAGCTGCTCCAGATTCCCCAGACAGCAGTTGGTTACTGCTTATCCCAAATAAAGTCTGAGGGCCAGTGCTTGTTTTGTTTTTCCTCTCTGCAGGTGAGGGTGACCTGAATAAAGTGGCTGATGCCTGCTTGATTTACCTCAGCACCAAACAGCCCGTGAAATTACAAGAGGCTGCCAGGAGGTACGTCTGCTTGATCACCTGCATCTCTTTATGTTTGTTCTAAATTATAGATGATTTGCTAATGGCGAGCAGATCTGAAGCATCTCTGCTCCCCTTTCTCTCCTTGCCAGGTTAAGATATTTTCTTGAACTGTGCCAACTCCAAAGATGGTATTTTTACTAGATGCATTTTCCTTTATAAGTAACCTTTTCCTCTGCTACATTGTCCACAACAATTTTATAGGGGCAAAAAGCGGAAAGATCGTGTGTTGGAGAGGACCCAGCACCCTCCTCCTGGTTCAAGGATGAACCACTTCTGGGTCCTGTTTCTGATAGCCCAGTGTCCCATGCCTCACCTCCCTCTACAGTAAAAAGAAAGCACTAGGTTACAGATCTCCAAAACCCCAACTCCATGGAGGACCTTAGATGATAGAAAAGTATGTGCAGAATTAGATGCGTTTTCAAGCAGGCACATACATGCCTCTTTCTGGAGTCCATACTGTAAAATAGGTAAGCAGCAGAGACCACCAGGCTGGTGTAAAGGCAAAATGGCATGGAATTTATTGTGCCTGGGTTCAAGCAGAAAGCACTATAATACCTTCTACCTCGAACAAAGAGAAGCGTGTCCCTTTTATTGGGACAGAAAGAAGGCAGGGGACATTAGCCGGGAAGACCCCAATGAACATCTGTGGCTAAAGTTTTCTGGCAATCTTGCATCTCGGTGGACTGAGTCCTGTGAAGTATTCTTTGTAAATGTTTGGGTGTCTCCAGATGTCTCCAAGTCCTGCAAAATTCCTTGTCCTATCTTATCTCCTTTCCTGTGTTTGCCAAGTGGTGAGCTGAATTCCCTGCAGAGTAGTGCTTCTGCTGGCAAGCAGGCTGGGGGCTGGGAGAGTCAGGCCAGGTTGGAGACTTACACATACCGTTCACCCAGTCCTAGCAGGAGTCTATCACGCAAAGAAAGGTAACAGCCACTTAGTGGGCCTTTTCTGATTCTGAAATTACATAATTCTAATTTCCAGGAGTTTTGGCCATGCTTCTAACAGAAGAAGCTATTTTTAGTTGCCTGAGTACTAAGTGATTTTTCCTATAAACTGAAACTCTGACAGAGGGCATCCCAAACTGCACTGTTGGCTCCCTTTCCCCAGCTGTCCTTCCAGCTGAGAACAGCATCGCTCCGGAGCTGTTTCCCCTGCGTGCCTGCTCTGGGCTGGGCCGGGACTGTCTGGCTTGCCAGCTCCACGTTCCCGAGCAGTGCCCCTCCTTCCTCGGCATCTGAGACAGGGCCCAGAGTATCCGTGCTGGGGTAGGAGGTGGGATTCACCTCACTCCTTGAGGAGCTGAAAGGCTGCTCTGACTGTGGAATAAGGAGAGCGACTTGCTCTTTTATAACCCTTGTACTCCCTGGGAATGATGGGAATATCTTTTTGAATTGATTTATTGTCTTTGCAATTTTTTACTCTTGATTTCCCCAGTAGCCTTTTTTCTTTCTGTCCCTTTCCGGTCACATCTCTTAGGCCCAGAATCAGTCATGGTTTCTGGAGCAGAGGATGCATCCCAAGGAGCTTCTTGTCCCCAGGCATTCTTATTCCTTAAGGAACCAGCTTAAGGGAAAATAGTTCTCCCTGGGCGGTGCCCCAAAGCTCATTGTTGCGTGGTTTAAAGTGCAGCCCACAAACATGATGAATTTCTTTTCAGGTAAACTCTTTGAGGAGCGTGTTACCACCAAGAGTTGTGAAGACCTGATTTTCACAATTCCTTGTCCCATCCTACTTTTTTTACTACCACTGCATCCCATCCTTCAAGTTTAGAGCCATCAAACAAGCTAATATTCGCAATTCATTATCTTTTCATTTTCTAATTCTCTTTTTTGTGGCTGAAAGCAATTAAACCTGGAATTGGCCCTTGCTGAGTGTGGAGTTGGTATTCAAGGTGCCTCAGGAGGAGGAACATGCAGCCAGACCACTTGACTGCAGAGGCGCCTTTGTTTGCTCCACCGCATTCCACTCAGGCTTGAGTCAGATGACCTCCCTCTGCCAGGCAGGGAGCAGGGGAGGAAGTGCAAGGTTGATTGCTTCACACACACATCATCTGCAAACTCTTTTGAATTGGGGGAGGGTGTTGTCCTTGATCAAGAGCTGATTTGGCATCTTGATTCAGAAATTATTAAGCTCTCTAAATGGGAAAAGAAGCTGGAGACAATAGGTAACCTGGTATCTTTGTGCGCTGCATTACTGTGCAGAGAGGGTGATGGTGAACTGATTAGCACTGAAGCAGTCACCGACACTGATGGGCAAGCCGTGTCCCCTGACTGAGTTGAAGTCTCCATTGTCCGGCCGTCTTGTCCTTAGTTCTTTTCTTTCTGTCCTACCCCACATCCCTTACCAAGGTAAAACCTATCTGCCTACTTGGAAAGTCTCCCTTAAAACTACCTACTTCTTGGGCTGGGGATTTAGCTCAGCGGCAAAGCGCCTGCCTGGCAAGCGCAAGGTCGTGAGTTCGGTTCCCAGTACCGGAGAAAAACCAAAAACCAAAAAAAAAAAAAAAAAACTACCTACTTCTCTTCCTTTCCAAGCGTTGTGGCTGGGGTTTACAAAAAGCCAAGCTAAGTATTCAGAGCCAGTGGAAGTCAGAGCTGCTCAGAGATGACTCATCTCCCTTCACAGGTATTAAATTCCCCACCCTGCTCCTCTGTCAGCCAGAGGACTGGCTAAGGAACCTGTGAGGACAGGGGCCTGCTGTGAGGCCTCCCACCTTCCAGAGGAGATGGATGCGCACCATGGCCTGCAGAGCAGTTGTCAGCGGCCCCTGGGTTGAGGGGCTTAGGACCTCAGAGGCCATCATATTGGAGTAGACACAAACTTGGCTGTGCCATGAAGATTTCTCTTTATTTTCACTACATGTGGGTTTTTCCTTCCTATTTGCTTTTTCTGGCTTCAAAGAATGACCAAGACTCTGTTTGCTTTTTTTAATTTGTCATATTAAATATAGCCTTTGTGGCAGGCTTTTACATCAGGCTGTAAACTCGGGAAATGGAAATTGATCAGGGGGTGGTTGATATAACCAAGGCTGTAAATGCTAAGAACGGAGATGCCATTCCAGTTTAATGCTTTTATCTAGTGAATATGCCTTGTAAGGAGGGGGCATAAATCTTGCAACTTGGGGGGGAGGGGGTTGGATATAACCTTTCTGCTTGTTACCACCAGGTGTCACTGTTAGAATTGGCAATGCAAAAAAAACAAAAAACAAAAAACCGCTCTCCCAAAGTCCATCGAGCAAAATAACTTCAATGGATAAAAAACATAAATCATATTTGGGTGTAGGAGGAGGGGGTCAAGATATCAGGAGCTGTACGTGGGCAGCATCCCTGAGGGTAAGCATTGAATTACAAATAACAGATCAGACCAGCCACACCCCCATCGCAGCCCAGTGCAGAGGCAAATTTAACTGATTTAAGTTCCCAAGTGGACCCAGAAGCCTGCAGGATATCTCCCAGCATGCAGTGTGTCTCCACAGTTCCGTGCCTTTCTGACCATGGAGCTTTGCCCTCCTATAGATGAAAGGAATTTGACATGAGAGCACACATCCCAAATTTCTATTTTTTCTTCAAGCCAGTATGTGTACTCAGCCTGGCTCAACTCTTTTAGAACCACACCTCTTGGGCCAGTCTTTTACTAGCCTCTGAGGCTCCCTGCCTTGCAGCGTGGTCTTACATCATCTAACTGGGCCAAAAGGAAACAAAACTAGGCAGTATCAGCTTTTAAATGGAGGAAGTCCATGCCTGATAAATCTCATGATAGAGAAACAAAGCTTTTAGACTGCTTGGTCTGTACCAATTCTTACCTCCACCTGCCAACTGTAGAGCCTGCTACAGATGCAGGGTGCCAGCAGGTAGTGACCAGCTGGTATACCTTCTGGTCCTGTACAGGTACCTGGATGCTTTATTGCTGTAGTCCTTGATGTGAAAGAAGGGGGACATTGCCTCTTCAGCCTTCTCTCTAGCCATTTTATGTGACAGCAGAAGGCACCCATCTTTTTTTCCCTTAGTACATGTTTGTAGTACACAAGGCTTCATTGTGGGAAATAAAGTACATGTACATAATATATTTTAATTCTTTTTATTCCCCTTCCCCTCCCTCCTTTCCCCTTCTTCCGTCTCAAGGTCCCCTTCCCACTTACCAAAGATCTACCTTCCTATTCTCTATCATCTTTTTCTTTCCTCTTTAAATATTTATACTTTGGGTTTTTTCATGTAAGAGAAAGTATGCAATATTGAAGTTTATGTATGGGATTATTTCACTTAACATTATGGTCTCAAGGCGCATCCATTTTCCTACAGATGACTCAGATATATCCTTTATGGCAGGGTAGTACTCCATTGTCTATAAAAACCACATTTTCTTTATCCATTTATCTGTTGATGGACATATAGGCATCTTCCAAGGTGTAGTTATTATGAGTTGAAAGTAGCAGTTTTGGAGTTGGACAGTCCTAGGTCAGATCTTATCTCTGTATAACCCTGAGCAAATAGCTTAGTTTCCTTGCATCTCATTTCCTTCCCTATAGACTCAGGGTGGTGATGGTGCCCTCCTCTGGGGGTCTTTGAGCAGATGGATTGCTCTCATGCATTCAGGAAGTCTGCTCAGTACTCCTCCATTCTGCAGATTGGTTAAGGAGCCCCTGTGTGCCAGGCACTTTTCTAGGCATTGAAAATAGAGGAAACAAGACAGAAAAGACTTCTGCTGTCATAGTGCTTGTGTTCCAAAGATATACCGATATGTTGTATACACATTGCACACACGTATGAACTTGGGTGTAAGGGGCTGGGGATTTAGCTCAGCGGCAAAAGCGCCTGCCTGGCAAGCGCAAGGTCGTGAGTTCGGTTCCCGGTACCGGAGAAAAAACCAAAAAAAAAAACAAAAAAACAAAAAAAACAAGAACTTGGGTGTATCTTGTAAGTCTGCTTCATCTTTACTGAATTCTGAACAGGGCTTTTCATATCAGGAGGATCTTTTTCATGTTAATTGTGCCACCTCTGCCCATTCTCCTATTTGTGTGAGAAGTCAGGACCAGGTTTGAAGGTTCATTTACTGTCTGACTTCCTGCTCTCTTTCTAGCAGTAGGATCCTAGCCCATCAAAGAATCAGCTGGTACCTTCAAACCCCAGAAAAACACAGACTGGCACAGGCTCATTCATTTCATCCCTGTCAGAGCCCAACTCCTCTCTTTACCTACATATAGGCCTATTATATTTGAACAGATCAGGAGCCACAGAGGTGAGCCATTAGTTCAGCTAACTTGAAATGAGAAGCTCATTGCCTTGAATGGTGTGGGCAGTTTGTTTGAGGTTGGGCTACAAAGCTATTTCCCTCTTGGATTTCACCCAGGGTGGAAATGAGGGCACTCGTAATATTTTTCCTTTTGGCACTTGATTAATAGTTGACAAATTCAGACCTGAGTAGTTAGCTTTCCCATTATCTATCTTTTGACAAGCATTGCTGCTTTTCTTTTCAAGGCCCATTGTTCTAAAAATACATTCAGATGTGAAGCTGTTCACTGTGCATATACCGGCATGATTTCATGGTGTCAAAGATAAGAGACATCTGCCATGCAGATTACAAACAAAGTAGGTTGCTGGGTTTCAGATCTGAAGCCAGAAACTTCTGTGCTACTTAAATCAAATGCTCCCGTTCCTTTCCCTGCTTCCGTGGTGTTGTCACATGACTGATAATCTGCCAGGTTCAGCTGCTTTACCACCCAGTGGGGATGTGTGCACATCGGGTACATCGGGAACAGGACGCTCTTGATGGCTGATGAGCCCAGTGACTGCACTGCCTGCACAAAGCGGATGTTAGTTGGCAAAAGCGTTGGTATGACACAGGGTAGCCATTTCGTCCCTTTACTGAGTCTGCCATCTGTCTAGAGCCCCTAGGAAGTTGGGGTGAATGTGATAATCTCAATACCAAGTAAAGTAGCCATGGAAATGGCCTCAGTTGTCTTTCCTTATTATGCCTGCAGGTGGGGGTGCGTGGAAGTTAGCCCAGGGTCCTTCTAGTGCTAGAAGTGCACTCCACCACTGAGCTACACCCCAGCCCCTATTGCAGAGATTTTTATTAGATCTCTTACGATGAGCCAAGTACTGTTTTGAGAATGAAGATTTCAAAGAGGAATACCAAGTTAGAGTTGGCCCACACTGCTGTTTGATGGCAGTGTAGCCTAGGTGAGTTAACTTCTCAAAGTCTGTTTCCTCTTCTACGAGGCTGAAATAACAAACATCTACTTTCTACCTAATACAATTATTACAAGGCTCAATAAAAAATTTTCACACAAAACAACACCACAGATTAAAAAGTTAATAAATAGTAGTTGTTCATCATTAAATGTCCCCCTTAATTCAAAAAATGACTTAAGGCATCCTATAAATTGAGTTTATGCAACAAGGAAAAAAGGAAATAAATGAAGGAAATTTTGAAAAGGGAAAAACAATAAGTGAAAAAGCAAGAGAAACCCAGAACTGAGGTTGATACATGAAGTGCAGAGTTAAGAGCGCAGCCGCTTTGCTTGGCTCTGTGCTTCCTAACACACAGAGCAAAGAGGGAAATATCATCTGATATGCAGCTTCCAGTAAATACTGGAATAAGCCTAAGAAAAGAAAAAGCTTTTCAGAAAGAAGCACAGCGTTCCTTGTTACTGAACCATAAGAAAATGTCTCCATGGGTCATCTTAGAAGAGCACAGAGTATTGTTGTGACTAACATGCTCGGCATCCTTGCAGTAAATACAGAAGTATATTTTTGAGAGCCATTTCTTCAGGCACCCATCAGTGAGGGCTGCTGGCTTAGAGCCAAAGCACAGGTTACAGGAAAACAGTTCAGGGACGAGTGGGGCAAAATAGACCACTGTGGAGATGTCTTTATCTTCCAGGGAGGGGCCGGAGACCCTGCATGTGGCCTGAGAGTGCAGCCAGCCTGTGCCAAGGCCGGAGTCAGTCTGCACAAAAGGCCGCTGTGAAGTCCGTGCCAGACAACGCTGTCATGGGACCTAGGCCTTCGGAGGCCTGGGGATGGAAATATGGCCAGATGGAAAGGGCTGCTTTTAAATCCCAACCACTGGGATTTAAATTCTACTAGGTCCTGGCTTATTTTTGAATTGTCTGTAACAGATTGGGCCTCGGTGCCATATTCTTTTAAATATGCACAAAGTAATGGAATCATTCCACTGCATTTATGATACTTTATCTTTGGTACTTTAGGGGCACCATTAGCATCATGCGCTTCCATTGGTGCTTATGGTTTTAAATCCTGACCTCAGTGCATTTAAATGTTTTTAATATGGGTCTGTGTGAGTATGCATGTTGGAGTTAGATGGATAGATGAATGGTTTTGAACAGGTAAATATAGTTAAGCCTAACAAGTACGTATAGCTGCAAAGGTAATTGGTAGTATTTATTTTGGAGAGCAAATTGTTGCTTCCAGTCATAATCCTCCATTTCCAACATTTGAAAACAAAAAACTACCTCCGTGCAGAGGAAGATAGCTAAATTGAATAGCAAGAAAGGACAGGCTTGAAATACTGGTTAACCAATGAACCGAGACCCATTAGAGTAAATTACCGAGTATGGAAACATAGCCCCACTGCTTGCCGGCTAGGACGCGTAGACACCCTGAGCATCCATTTGTTTCAAAGGCAACACACAGCCTCATTTTCAACAACAACATGCACAGAATATGAGAGAAGAGCGGCCAGAGAAGAGAGGAATGGGGAGGCTGTTCTGCTGGAGAGGAAACAGGCAGGCTAATGTCGCTTTGTGGGTCTGCCAACTTCCCAACAAGTGACTTCATTTTCAGATCACATTCAGTCCTTCCTGTGCAGACATAGCCTGCGTCATGCTCCTAAGGAGATATCCCACATAACTTCTTTAGAAGCCCCAAATAAATAAATAAATAAACAGATCACAAAGCCACAACTTCTTTACCACTGGCATTTAGACAGCTCATGAGAGCATTTTATAAATCCAGAAAGAAACAAGGAACAGCAGATCCCTCAAGCAAGTAATTGACAGAAAAAGAATAGCCTGTCACCCAGGAGAGCTGGAAGCCTTACGTTTCAGTTACAGTTTATTTAGCTTTTGCCGAGTCCTGATTGGCTGCCGGTTTTCTGGAGTTCCCTTTGAGCAGATGTTGTCTAGACAGAGATGGTGAGGACATACTCTGTAGTAGTCACTTTTGCAGTGGAGGGGTTTGTTTTTGGTTTTGCCATATTGAGGCGGGTGACCCAGTGCTCATGCTGGGAAACTGCCATGAATGTCAGAGCCAGAAGTCACCCCAGAGTTGGTCAGATCTCACTCCCTTTACAGAGGCGTGACTTGCTGTGTCTGCTCCTCAGGAATCCTTCCCTGGCCCCACTCCACTCATGCTGCTTAGCGTGGCCCTCGCCGTATTGCACCATGGGCCTCTGTGATCTGCTTGCCTTCCACACCAGGCAGGGCTCGGAGACCAAAGCCTTTGTCCTTGTCTTTGTGTCCCAGCACCGTACACAGTGCCTGGGCTGCACCAAGTGCTAGCAAACGTGTGATGAACCACGAGGAGATAGGACCCGGCTGACCAGATTCCAGTAGTGCATTTTCTACCTCTCCAGGCCACTTCACCCCCAGCTTGCTCCCTCAAAGCACCCCAAGGCCGATCCTGAGGGAGTGAGCTGCTTCTGTTGTTGGGCATCTGGAGTTTATTAGGTGCTTACTGATACCCATCAATTGTAGATAGGCTGAAGTGCAGGGAAATGGCTGCCTGCGTGAAGTAAAATTCAATAAAACCGCATTTTAAGTGAAAAATCAGTATAAACACCAGGCTTCTTTGCCATGGAAACAGAGGTTGCTTAGAAACTGCCTAACGGCGAGTTCTAAATTTTTTAAAGTCAAGTTATCATTTAAGCTACACGGCCCTACAGGTTATTGAGAGATAATCACTCGCCTCAGGACACAAGAAGGCATGAGGCACAGCTGAGTGCCTCCCCCTGCTCTGGGGACCAGGTAATCTCTTGATAACTGTGCTCCCCAGAGCCACTCATTTGGGCCTAGGGGAAGGAGAAAGAAATTTTTGTTCAGGAGTTAAATAGTGTACATATATTTTTTTAAAAGCGTTTCTCTTTGGGTTTGAAAAAAGATGGAACTGGCCATTTGGCATGTTCAACAGCCATCTCTGCCATGTTTCAAGATATATTAGGAACATTTTCCAGGCAGTTACCCCAGTAGCTTCAAAGCAGAGGTCCTGCCTTTGTCTTCTGGCTTTCAATTATGCAGAATGG